GAAACTCACAAAATAAAAAAGAAAAGAAAAGAAAAAGAAACTCACAGAAGGTTTTGCATTACCCTAGGAAACCAAACTCACTAATCAGGAAAAAAAATTGTATTTAGATAAATTGGTACTAAACATCAGAAATAAAGGCACATAATTCGTAAATGTAATTTTGCCCCTCTGTACAGTGTGACCTGTTTCTCTGTGATCCATGCCCAGAATCTAGAATCTCATGCTGGAGAAGTCTCAGGGGGTCCCCCAGATGTTTCCCTTTGTCTGAAGATGGTCACACGATGCCAGGAGAAGCTTTACAGAGAAGATCCTATCTATCAGCTTTGTGAGCGAGCCCTCCCTACACACCTAAAAATCATAGGTGATCGGAGGAGATATGCAAGTGTATAGAAATACACTCAAATAGTAACTTCTTTGTTAAACCTGAACTTGAATTTGGTTCACAAAGAGGAAGAAAGGAAAAGGAAAGGAAAATGGTTTTCTGCACAGTTTTTTTTATTTTTATTTTTTTTAAGATTTTTTTATTATTATTATTTATTCATGAGAGACACACAGAGAGAGAAGCAGAGACACAGGCAGGGGAGAAGCAGGCTCCATGCAGGGAGCCCGACATGGGACTCGATCCCAGGAATCCAGGATCACGCCCTGGGCTGAAGGCAGGCACTAAAACTCTGAGCCACCCAGGGATCCCCAGTTTTTTTATTTTTAAATTTTATTTATTTACGTGAGAGAGAAATAGCATGAGTGGCGATGGGGAGACAGGCATAGGGAGAGGGAGAAGCAGACTCTCCACTGAGCAGGGAGCCGGACTTGGGGCTCAATCCCAGGACCCCAGGATCATGACCTGAGCTGAAGGCAGACACTTAACCAACTGAGCCATCCAGGCGCCCCCTCCTGCACGGTTTTTAAAGATCACCAAAGGAGAAACAAATACACAGCTTCCCTTATTAATCTATCTCTGATTTTTCTAGATTCGTTGTACCAAAATAAAGTCATACAGACCCACAGTGCATGTCTGAAACTTTAGTCCCAGTTCTTCCATATCCAGAAATTTGTAGGTTTTAGACGGATGACTCAGGGAATTCCTGAACACCGAGTCAGGGTCCGGGCAGCACCTGGAGTCCAGTCTCGTACTGTGCCTGCACCAGAACGTGGCTCCTGGCACCAAGTGGAGCAGAGGAAGGTCGAACATTGCCTCGTGTGACAAAGTCTAGGTTTGCCACCAAGAGGGTTAAGAAATGTCCATTTTTAGAGCTTTTCAGATTTGGGAATTGCCAATCATGAGGACCTGTAATACTCTCCCCGGAGAACTGGACCCTCGTGATGGGCTCACAAAACGTGGAGGCATTGGTGTGACGCTAGCATCATGGTGCCTTTTCTCGATGTCACAGGGCAGTGCTCTCTGTTACACTGGTTTGCCATCCCGGGTTTAGTGCCCCATAGTGTTTTAGTGCTACGTGCATCAAAACCCCTGGTGCAGGAATAATTCTCCCACACCAAGCATGTTCTTTTTGCCCCAGATTTGTACCACAAATTATGGACATCGCCTTTCACCCAAGGAGAATCTTCTGAAAAAGAATTTCCTCATTTTTCCTTTTTTTTTAAAAAGATTTTATTGATTTATTCATGAGAGACACACACACAGAGAGGCAGAAACACAGACAGAGGGAGAAGCAGGCTCCCTGCAGGGAGCCTGACGTGGGACTCGATCCCAGGACCCCAGGATCACGCCCTGGGCTGAAGGCAGCACCAAACCACTGAGCCACCCAGGCTGCCCTCCTCGTTTTTCCTAAAGGAAGACAAACCCATGTGGATTTTGCTAATCCTCCTATCAAATAGGATTTTTGCTTCCTTTGCCTCATGGTGTCTTGGTTAAATTTGCTGTTGCTGTTATTTGTGGCAAATTCCCCGTTTGATGTATTGCTAGAAATCTCAGAAAATTTTCTTAGTGGATCATTCAAAGTTCCTAGGTTTGATAAGTGGTATGGGCAGTAGATGAGAGACACATCATGGCAACAAACAAAAAACAAAACAAAACAAAAAACCCTAAATCAAAGGACCAGGGTAGCACTGGGAGTCTACGTTTTTGCTGGTAACGTTAATAAGTACCTAAAAGATTCTATTTTTCATAGAATCTGGTTAATGTTAAAAATAAGAAAACTTCGGTTTTAGTCTCAGTTCAGCAAATGACTCTCCCAGAGACCGTTTTTCTAAAAATGAAACACGAACTGTTTTAGCGTGTCTTCTAAGTTGACCTTTATCAGGTGCACTGAACTCTGGGGGAGATGTCCGAGAAAGTGGAAGACCCCAGGAGAGGAAGCTGGGAACTTCCACCATATTCATTAGGTTTTAGCTTCTCACACCTCCGGAGATGGAGTGACCAGGTCTCCCATCAGGGCAACTTTGTGATACGCAACCACGGCGCGAGGCCGGATCATTCCACAGGGCTGACCACCTATAAGTTAGTGCAGATGTTTACAGACAGCAGAAAGGCAAATAGAACATTTCTGCATAGTTGTCCTTTGGGAAGGATTAAGAGCCATGGATCCCTTCCAGAATGTAATGGATTTGGACGGGCTTCACGCCTTAGTGATTTCTTGTTATATTTGTCTATGTAACCCTGCCCTGGGGGGGGAGCGAGAGGAACACTACAGGCTCTAGCAGGGAAGTCAAGCCTGGGATTGTCATTGGGGAATCTTGTTTGCCAACAAACTAGTGTTTCATGGGTAAGACAATCCCTTCCTCCTTTAGCTCCTTCCTTCCCCAAATATACTTTGAACGTAATGAGTGTGGGTAAACCTAGACTCCAGCTTAATTGCCTCTCCCACAGCCTCAGCCAGTCAAAGCCCGTCCCTTAAGAGTGCCTTTCAATATTTACAGTGAATCAGATCCCTGTTCTCGGGGTGCTTGTAGTTAAACAGGGAAGAGGCAAGACCCAGAAATCCATCACTGTGGGCTCTCCAGTGTTTGGTGAACTGAGTATTTGCTTAAACTATGCCTTAATGGCATGTGAGTAAAAACTTCAAACCCTACTTGGGAATTGACCTGTCCTGAATGCAAGTGGCTTACCTGTGCGAAGACCTCCAGTGGCTGACCACTGCCTCCTGGAAGAGTTTGAACTCTGTGAGCCTGCGGGTGAAGGTTCTCAACATTCTGTGCCTAATCTGCCTTTCATTTGGCCTTATTTCCTCTTACCTCCCCTGCACCCACTACTACTGAGCTCATACCGCATTGCTCTTTTGACATCACTGCCCAGCATCCCAGTGACCAGTATCTGCCTTGTTCTGTGTGAGCAGCACAGAAGCTGCTCCCATAGCTTTGGTTAGAGCTGAGGACCAGGGGGGCCTGGAGGGCTCAGTGGTTGAGCATCTGCCTTTGGCTCAAGGCATGATCCCGGGGTCCTGGAACTGAGTCCCACATTGGACAACTTGTAGGGAGCCTGCTTTTCCCTCTGCCTGTGTCTCTGCCTCTCTCTCTGTGTGTCTCATGAATAAGTAAATAAAATCTTTTTTTTTAATTTATTTATGATAGTCACACAGAGAGAGAGAGAGAGAGACAGAGACACAGGCAGAGGGAGAAGCAGGCTCCATGCACCGGGAGCCCGACGTGGGATTCGATCCCGGGTCTCCAGGATCACGCCCTGGGCCAAAGGCAGGCGCCAAACCGCTGCGCCACCCAGGGATCCCCAAATAAAATCTTTTTAAAAAGTAAAATAGGGATGCCTGGGTGGCTCAGCAGCTGGGTTGCTTGCCTTTGGCTCAGGTCGTGATCCCGGGATCTGGGATCAAGCCCCGCATCACGTTCCCTGCATGGAGCCTGCTTATCCCTCTGCCTGTGTCTCTGTCTCTCTCTCTCAGTCGTGTCTCTTATGAATAAATAAATAAAACCTTAAAAAAAAAGAACCGAGGACCAAGGCAGGATCCATGGGGTGAGCCTCTGCCAGCCCAGTAGGAGCCATGAGACACTTGCTGGACCAGGAGAGGGAAATACCCTCTAAATAGCAAAATCTCCATCCCAAGGTAGAGGCCAGTAATTGCCTCTGGAGGTAAAGAGTGGGTGCAAACACCAAATACCCTGACCCAGTGGGGATGCAGGTCTATTGAGTGTGCAGAGAGGAATCAAGCCTCTGAAAAACACTGGCTAAAACCAGGAGAGTATTTAAGTATTCTTCAAACCTGAGAACATGGGAGTCTGTGGAAAAAGGGATTTCTGGTGCCAGGACCTCCTACTAGTACCAGATAATCCACTTCCCACTCTCAGAGTCATTTCCAGGCCTTGTCAAAAGCAAAGGTTATTTATTTGTCATATTTTAGACAACAGTTTCCAGCATGTGGTCAATCCAAGCGAAGAAAACCAGACTTGTGTGTCAGCAAGGGAAACAGCTCTCAAGGAGCAGCAGTCAGGCTGCCCATTCTTTTTTTTTTTTTTTTTTTTTTAAGATTTTATTTATGTATTCATGAGAGGCAGAGACACAGGCAGAGGGAGAAGCAGGCTCCATTACAGGGAGCCCAACGTGGGACTCAATCCCAGGACCCCAGGATCACGCCCTGGGCCAAAGGCAGATGCTCAACTGCTGAGCCACCCAGGCATCCCCTGGGCTGCCCCTTCTTGCAGGCCTTTGAGCCCATGACCAATCCCTGGGAGCTTCTCCCACGGGATACGGGTGACTCTTTTCCTCCCAGATTCATGCTGCTCAGGGACACTTGGTCTCTGGCTCTCTCTGCTTTCAGGCTATCTGTGAGCACTCTCCTCTGCCCTATTCTGTGCCCCTGGGGAGAGGGCCCCTGGGCTCTGCACCTTGTGTGTTCTCTTCCCTCTGTATTAAATACATAAATTTAAAGGGAGCACCCCTTCCTCCTCCCCCCACTTTTCATTAAAAGGGAACAAATGTGGGGTCTCAGCTGAGGCCACTGGGTCGGGTTGGATCCTGTAGTGCAGGTGTCTAAGACAGAGGGTGAGCCATTCCTGGGCATTATCTCTGTCCCATTACTCTCTTCCAGCAATGAGGTGGTGAGGAGTGACTTGAAGAAGCTGCCAGCACTTCCCACTCAAGCCCTGAAGGAGCACCCTTCCCTGGCCTACTGGTAAGCTGCACCCCCTCTGCACACCCCTCAGGAGCGAGCCCTCCCGGGGTGCAGGGGGCTAGGGGCTGCCGAGGGGCAGGCTAGACCAACGTGTCGGAGTGGCTTGGGCCTGTGTCAGACCACTTCCCGCGTGTATTTAGATGCCACGGTTTGCATGAGACCTCCTTTTTCTATTTTCTTTCTTTAAAAAGAAAAAAGAAAACCTTCTAAAATTTCACTTTGGATGCTTTGCCTCCTTGGAGACCCTTTCATGTGCTGCTCAAGTTTCGTTCTGGAATCCTTGTCATTTGATGACAGGATGTGTGAGGTTTTGAGATGTGGGAGGACTACAGGGTTTTGTTTTTTTTTTCTTCTTCACTGAAGAGAGAGATTGATTCTTTGATTTTCCCACAATGTTCCATATCTCCTCATTTGGCTTCCATGTAACATTGTACCCTCGTTCATCTGTCAGGCCCTAAATTACTGATTCTGAATAGCACAGGCATGTGAAAGGGTCCCGGAGTATGGTTCTGGTCACAGTCGAGCACGGCCTGCATTCCCGGGTGGTGTGTGCAAACACTGTGCACACAGGCCCTGGCCACTGTCCCCTGACAAGCGACAGTGCCGCGTCCCTTCTGACTTCTTTATGGCAAGCATTAGCCACTTTTATAATAAATCATCATCATCATAATAAAACAAAAATCGCAGGACAGGTCAATCTTGATAAATTGTAGCATGTGACTCTTCTAAGCACATCTTTGTTATGCCTTATGAAACGTATGGATGGCAAGCATTTCATCTCATCTGGACACGTCTGCAGTCAGCACGCTAGGTCTCAGCCATTCAGGTGGCTCTGGGAGACCCCTTTGGCTGGGATAAGGCATGTTGTGATGCGGAAGGGCATGAGCCAGATTAAACTCTAGTCCAGAAGAAGTTTCTCCTCAAGAGACCATGGGATGGGGCAGCGGGAGCAGAAATGAGAAGCTGGACCCTGGGGCAGAGAGCTCCCTCCAGGGTGCTGACATGCTCTCCCCACCCAATCTCTTCTCACTGAGCTTTTTCTTTTTTTTTTTCCTGTTTTTTTTTTTTTTTTTTTTTTTTTTTGCCATTCATACTTTGCTAACATAGATGGCGCCCCACAGTGGCTTTGTGTAATTATAATCTAGCCCCCAGGAACAGAATCTGTTTAGCCTGCAGGGACTAACTACCCTGTCTGCATGTGTGAACACCAACATGTGTTCCTGGGGTCCTGTTGGCCTCTCCCCAATTCCCTGTGCTCCCTGGGCCTCATCTTCTCTGTCCTCCTACCATCCCCCCAGCTGCTCATTCTTAGGAAACCAGTGGTGAAAGAGCTAGAGATATAAGAATATAACTCTGGAAGCCAGTAGTTTCTACACAAAGCAGGTGTGTTTGCCAGGTAGGGGCTGTGATGTTGCTGGGTTGTCTGGGGTCAAAGTCGCTATTTTAGCCTAAACCATCCCTCCGTGATCTCCTCATTCAGTTGTTTCCAGACACTTCCTACACCTCGTGCTTACCAACTCCTCTGTAACTCTCCCTCTCTCCTTCCTTCTCTCTGTCTCTGTCTCTCTATCTCGATTTCTCTTTCATTTTCTCCACAGTCTGCTCCATGCTCCCATGTTATTACTAATACAGAAATGCTGTATCTTCTCTTGTGTCAATATGAACATCTTCATCTGCATCTATAATCTTGCCGGAGTGTCCCTCTGTGTCTGTGACCTGGCCACCACTTTCCCTGGGCCTCCTTTAGACCCAGAGACACCCATGCCACTGTGCGTGCTCACAGAGAGGATGCAGAACTGAGGGCTATTTCTGAAGTGGGTGCCCTCCAGCTCCACAGCCCAGACAAGCCAGCAGCATGGACCATCCTGTTGACTTATTGCTAAAAATCACCTTATTCCACTGTGCTTGGCTAGCTGTAGTTGACCCTCCTCTCCTAATCTACTTATTTGGTTTTCTTTAAAAAAAAAAAAAAAAAAAGCAAAGATTTCAGGAAGGGATAAATGCTGCTCATGCTTCAGAGACTGGAGACAAAGCTGGCAGACCAAGCATGTTCATGGACTTCTGTTGGCCTTGGTATCGTCACACATCTCTGCGATTTACCTTCACCCCTTGTTGGTGGAGGAGATCTTCACTGGCCCTGACCTCACAATCTCTATTGAGCTGCCCGCAGCCCTGATTATCCCTGAATGGAGGACACATATTTGCAGTTCTTCGAGGCTCTCCTGCTCGCGCTGGCCTTCACAGACGAGGCAGATGGCCTTCAGGCCAGAAAAGGCCCTAGGCAGCCCATCCACGCTAGTCAGGAAAGGCATTACAGCCTAGAGAGCAAAGCAGTGGGTTTTAGAATCCCAGCCACCTTTCTGAACATGGGGTAATGACAGCTCAGGAAGCTTGACTTACTTGACTTACTTCTCTGCTGCCTCAATTTCCCATCTATAAAATGGAATGAACCATACCAACCGAATCCAGACTCTAATTAAGAGCGGAAGTAAGAAGTCACATAATGCAATTAGCAAGTAGTGAAAGGTGCATAGGACTGCTGAGTAATCATGCAGTAATCCTTTCTGCTGCTTTTCCCTCAGCGTGTAACAAGCTTGGACTTCTACTCCTCGGGGTTTCCCAATTGGCAGGCATCTGAGGCAGAGGTTAGAATTATGTGTTCAGGGCCACAGAACAGAGCCGTATGAGGGCCCTGACCTGGATTCTCCCGAGGGCCTAGCTTGCAAATGCTGGACACCCCCCACCCTCACAGCAACCATGCCAGCTATGCAGGGGCATCTACCTTTACTCCAGAATCACTGCCCCCGGCTGGCGATGGCTCCTCTAAGACAGGAAACCATGTCACCATCCCCATGTTTCCTCTTGATCCCCCATGCATTTCCTGGGCCCCTGGCCTGCAGAGAGATGATCTCACTGAAAGACTAGCGAAGACTAGTCAGCCTTAATCGCGGTCTTTTCCCTTCGTGTGACGCAGTGTCCTCCAGTTAGTGTTTTAGAGTTCTATTTGCTCTGGCTGGTGCATTTTTTATAGTTATTCCATTGAGTCCCTGCCACAGATCTGGGGTCGCTGGGAAACTCTGCAAAGCTCAGTGCACTTGAGCCCATCTGTAAATTCCAGAGGAAGTGGGGGGGAGAGATGGGGGCAGAATGGCTTCTCGGTGAGTATGGCAGGTGATCACAGGATGGGCCCACGGTGTTTCGATTGGGCCCAAAGATTTGGGAGAAGCTGAAGAAGGAGAGGGGATCCCTGGGTGGCTCAAAGGTTTAGCGCCTACCTTTAGCCCAGGGTGCAATCCTGGAGTCCTGGGATTGAGTCCCACGTCGGGCTCCCAGCATGGAGCCTGTTTCTCCTTCCTCCTGTGTCTCTGCCTCTCTCTCTCTCTCTCTTTCTCTCTCTCTGTGTCTATCATAAATAAATAAATAAATAAATAAATAAATAAATAAATAATCTTTAGAAAGAAAGAAAGAAGAAAGAAAGAAAGAAAGAAAGAAAGAAAGAAAGAAAGAAAGAAAGAAAGAAAGAAAAAGAAAAGCTGAAGAAGGAGAAGCTAGATATTGTGGCCTCACCGTTGACCCCGGGCAGCAGGAGGTCCTGGGAGCCGTGGTGGTAGCAGAGCCCTGCAGCTGTCGGGCACTGAGAAACAGCTGCCTGTGGTGCTTCTGATTTACACGGGTGTTGGTCTGAGCCTCCAGTGTGTTCGCAGCTACGGCACAACATTGATTTTTATCTCCAGCCCAGCCCAGGGATCCTCCCTCCCATCAGCTCACATCCACACTGAGCTGCTTGCCCCTGGATCCAAGAGTTGACCTCACAAAATGCTAGATCCTGTGGTAGGAAACATGCCAAAGCATGTGAGTGGGAGACATGCAAGCTAGAAGAGGAACCCTGCAAATGTCCCAACAGATCTCCAAAGGTCTGGTGAGGTGGGGCCATCCCCAGGCAGCATGCTCCTGGAGAATGCTCTCGGGAGAGGGCTTTCTCACACTCTGTGCAGAGTGTCCCAGGTTGCCTGGGAGCCGAGGAGAAATAGATCTGCATCTGCCCCTTTCTGAACACAAAGTGTTCAGACCCCACCCAAATGACTCTCCAACCAGAGAAGGGCTCCTTGTGGCTAGCCAGTTTCCGTTCTGAGCGTAAAGATGCTCGCTTGGGAAGAGTCAGATGATCGTACATACCCCAGATTTCAGAATACTAAAATGAAGAGGGAGCCATTCAATAGTAAGATAATAATTGGGAAAATCAATAAATTACCCCCAAGTAGTAGTTAGTGAACATACAGGAGACATTACCTCTAGAAATGGCCTTTCTTTTTTTCCTTTATTTTTTTTTTAAGATTTTATTTATTTATTCATGAGAAACAGAGAGACAGAGACACAGGCAGAGGGAGAAGCAGGCTCCATATAGGGAGCCCAACATGGGACTCGATCCTGGGTCTCCAGGATCACGTCCTGGGCCAAAGTGGCGATAGACCGCTGAGCTACCCAGGCTGCCCCCTTTTTTTCCTTTGGAAAAAAAAGGCAAGGAAAGGCTTTAGATCATCTCAGATACCAAATAAATACATAATGACCAGGTCACAGAGTCCAAGTCTTTCGGACTTGACTTCTCAGCAGGTGGGATGTGCTTCCCCTCTGGCTCTCCTGGTTAGTTCTGTGCTTCCAAAGGTAGCAGCCATAGCTCCCTGGGCACCAGAGTCACTTCTCAGAGTCCCTTCATGCCCCCTGCTCTGTCAAAGCGGGGTCTGGCTGGCTGGCCAGTGCCCCCCAAGGCGCAAGCTAGTCTCTTGTTTTAGGAGTAAGATTTCAAGACATCAAGGAATTCTCATCTCACTTCTAGTAGCTGGCATGGTGTTTCCCAGTGCTTCTCTGGGCCTCTGATTATCTCGTGGTTTGAGTTAGCCAGGCCCAAATTCCAGAACTTTCCCATCCTCACTGGAAGCCCTCAACCCTGACCACTAATTCATGCTAGGGAAGCCCTGGGCATTCTGTTGAGGTCAACGCCTGCCCTCCTGTGTGAGGTCCTGTGCGCACAGGGTTCAGGAGATGAGGAGGGTGAGGAAGACGTGGGTGTTCCAGCCAAAGCATCACCCCGATGTTCAGCCAGCGGTTTTCCTCCCCCCTCATTCTGTGTCCCTCTCCAGTGAGACACATGCTCACTGCTGCTTCCTCCCCTCCCCTCCTAGCATTTCCTGCAAGGGGCCGACCCCAAGGAAATCTGTAGCCCGAGACACATCACTTAGGCTGAGTTCAGAAGTGCCACTCAGGGCAAATCATTTCTACGAGAGCTATCAGCTCCTTGGAGCTTCTCTTAAGATTGCTCAGGCTCAGAGGAAGTATCTCCATTAGCAGGGTGCTGGCTGGTGACCCAGGGACTATATGTAACAGAATCTTTGTCTTATAATTCTAGCGAGGATCGAGTAATTGAGCACTATAAGAAACTGAATGGCCAGACCAGAGGTCAAGCAATTGTAAAGTAAGTGGTCCCCTCCCAGCTCCCGTGAGGCTGTGTGTGTGTGTGCATGTGGCATGTGTCAGGGCTGTTCAGTTCTGAACAGCTGGATGGACATATCTCCACGGGGGGATGGTTCCGTTTCATTTTCAAGTCAGTAATCCCCCCAAGAGCTTTGTCATGCACATGCACACACAAATATGTATATGATTCCAGTTCTGCCGAATAACCACCCTTGTGTGTGTGTGTGTGTGTGTCTCTGTGTGCGTACACCTGTGCTGTCTTCCCAGCTACATGAGCATTGTGGAGTCTCTTCCGACCTACGGAGTTCACTATTATGCGGTGAAGGTAAGTGCCAAGCCTGCCCTAAAAACAAAACCCAAAAAAACCCACAAGCACCTCTCACTTTTTTCCTTTTCAGTCTTACTGAAGATCTGGTGGGTGGACTGGCAGTGGGCAGGGTGGAGGACTTGGTCAGGATGACTGTGTCCTAGGGGAAGTTGGGGTTCTGGAGCTTCCCCCTTGTGGGAGGACTTGATGCAGTTTCTCTTCAAAACTCACGTTCCCTCATGTAAAGTGGGTACAATAAATCACTACTTCCTTTTATACTCAGAAGAATCTTGGGAGGTCAGGACCGCAGATTCCATCTAAATGCAATGAATTGCAGAGAACAAAAACTTTAAGCAGAATCAGCAGTGTTTTTCTTGGTGGTCAGATGCCACATAGGCAGTTTTGGAGAAGGACTGGCATTAGCGGCTGACAGATTAAGTACATGGCTGTTTAAGGAGACAGATCTTGTCTTTTTAAATATTGTGATGTTCAGTCCAATGGAACACAGGCTCTATTCCAAACTCTCTTTAATTTTATCCATAATGCCCATGTCTGGGATCCCTTCCTTGAAATAATAGACAAGGATGTGCTGGTGTGCCCTTATCTGTGATGAGAAAGGGTACTTTTCCTCCCTTAGTTTACCACAACATGCAGAGTTTAAGTCATTGCCTAAAGTCCAGCCAAAAAGTGCAGAAAACCCTCCTGAATGCAAGACGGTTCCACCAGCCAACCTGAGATTCTCTTGCTCTTTGGCCAGTTTCTTTCCACAAGGTTCCATCCAGCTGTATTTTTAATTCCTTTGGGCTAGAACATGCTCCATGTTTCATTTATCTTTGTGTCGCTCGTGGCAGCTTACACAACACTTTACATGTCCTTGGTACATGTTCAATTGCCTCTGTCTTCCACTAACCTGCAACCTTCGGATGGCCAAGCCTGTGTGTTGCATCCTGTTACTTATTCCTGGAACCCAGTGTGGCACCTGACACATTGAAGATGCTCAGTAGATATTTACTAAATAAATGTTACTGAGCATTGAACTGGGTCATTGAGGTATACTTCCATGATAGGAACAAATGTCAGAACTCTATTCATGGAGCCCAAATATGAGGCATATTCAGGGATGCCAGTCTGACCCAGCAGCTCAGCTCAGGATCTCTCATAAAGCCTGAAACTGTTAAATCCTTCCTGATGTCCTACCAAAGCTCTTCCAACCAAGGGAGGCCATAATCCCTCTTCACCATCATTCATGAAACTCACAGAACTGTCACCACCATTCCTGCCCAGAAGTTCTCAGGCTTAAGCTGGAGGTCTTATCAGGAGTGTCACCTGGCCTTTTGAGCCACCTCCCATCCCCATGAGGGAGATGAATCCATAAAGGAGAACCCCAACCTGAGAGGCCACACGCTGTCATGTGCCCAGTGAATTCATTGGGCAGTCAACCCCCAAGAGGAAATCGGACAGTCTGTGACATGGGGTTGAACATCCACAGCACTGGCTGCCAGGGTTCCACACATAGCTGAGTCCATTTCCTAGAGTCCATTTCCACTTCACCGTCTTGTTACCATAAAGAAACGTAAGGATCCAACAGTATTCCTGACATTGTTACAAGAGGCATTTCATAGAAATCAGCCAGTGAGTCTGTCTCTCCATTGTGGAAATATTCTGTGGGGCCATATGGCAAAGGGGTCTGCATTCTAGAAAGTGAACAAGGACTTGCCTGGACTAGGTGCTTTCATTCACTGTTTGTTCATAATTTGATCTCACCTCCATTGCTCATACTTAAAATAGAGCTTACGAAATTTGCTACCCCCACAAAAGTCTCCTAGGTGTTGGAAGACGATCAAGGTAGATATCAGACTATATAGACAAAGTGGAAATCTTTGAGCGGAGACTTCATCCAGCCTTTTACTTGTATAAACCTGTGTTGTCCCATCTCTTTGTCAGCCCCAGAGCTTGACAAAAGGGTGGCCTCTGATGAATATGCTTTCTGCCCTCCAATGCAACTTGAGAAACATGCTCTTCTGCCATTTGTGAGAGCAGAAGCAGACCCTGTGATTTTCAGAGTGTCAGAAGTAAGTTTGGCTCTTGGAATCTCCAGGCTTAAGCAGTTGCCCTCCTACTTATTTGGAGAAAGAGCACAGGAAGCCAAGCCAGCCCAAACCAACCAGATCCAGCCTCACCAGTCAGTGGCCTCGTGATTTCACAGATGCCATGTTCTGTGGGGTGGTGACCACCCTTACCTGGTCAACCCGAAGCTGCGGTGGTATTGAATCCCCTGTGCTGTTCTCTGAAACTGTTGCAGGACACACAGGCGCTTTCCAGAGACAGAGGATTTATACCTTTAAAAAAATGTGTAGGAAATCACATACCCTGAAACTTTTCTAAAAATTCAAAGTGTATTTTCTTGCCAGTCTTCTTTATCATTGTGTTTACATTGAAATAACTCATATGAGTATTTGAAAAGCATGAAGCCTGTTTTGAGTTGTTAAGAATCTACGATGGGTTATACTGGGTTATTCATAGGTGTGGCAACTAGGACAAATCTAGGGAATGGCTGCTTCATATGCCCACTTGGCTCCTAGCATCCAGGAGCTTTAATGAACAGCTCAGAGTCCTCCTACCTGAATGTCGGATCACAGTTTACAATCTGGTGGCAAGAGGTCTCTGTTGAAGGAATAAAGAGAGGGACTTGGTGTTTCTAATTCAGATCTCAGAAGGTACTTAGGCTTCGATTTTGCTACTTTTGTGTGACAGCGGGAGTCACACAGTCCAGCGGATCTCTTAAAATGAGCAGGACCACATGGTGGCATCTGCCCACCCTGCACTGCCATTGACCTGCTGGAGGGATGGGGTAGGCCCTGAGTAAACAGAACCAACCCTTTGCTTTGATTTCTTTGTCTTTGAAATCGGAGGAATCTTAGATGCATGTTATTGAGTGAAAGAAGCCAAGCTGAAAAGTCTACATACTATATGATTCCAACTATATGACATTCTGGAAGAGGTAAAACTATGGGCCAGAACTTAGGACAGGGAGAAGAAGGGGTAAATAGGTGGAACACCATATTTTCAGGACAGTAAACTACTCTGTCTGATGTTATAATGGTGGATACATATCATTGTACATTTGTCCATTCTCATGGAGTATTCCACACCAAGAATGAACCCTAATGTAACCTCTGGACTGTGGGTGATCATGATGGATCAATGTAGGTTCATCAAGTTATAACAAATGTTCCCCTCTGGTGGGGATGTTGATAGTGGGGGAGACTCTGCAGGTACGGGGGCAGGAGTGTATGGGAAATCTCTGTACTTCCTTCTCCATTTTGTTGTGAACCTCACTCAGACTTCTCTTTAAAAAACCACCAACTTAAAAAAAAGATTTTTAGAGGAGTCACCTTCTCCATGGTCCCTTCTAAGCTGTGATAGTTGATGATACCTTCTCTGCTCAGAAGGTCATTTCATTAGAATGCTCTCAGATTTTTCTGTTGTGGTGAAACCTGAAATCTTAGAAGGAGACAAAGAATTCTCTACTTACTCAAAGAGGGGGAAGGACCACAGTGTGCTGCTGGTTGGGAGCAGAGCTGGGTCCCCATCCCAGGGCATGTTCCATGGCACCTGTTCACATAACTGAGCATCATCTGCTGATAGGGCACATCCATAGTGGAAAGTAGAGAGGTGGACTCCATCCATTTCAAGGGATTTGCATTTTCCTCTGTCATCACGAGAGCCAGGAGGCCTTCCCTAGGTTCCTGTATGTGTTCTCCGGCTCTGATTTACCCATACTCCTTTCCATGCCCTAGGACAAGCAGGGGATACCATGGTGGCTGGGACTGAGCTACAAAGGAATCTTCCAGTATGACTACCACGATAAAGTGAAGCCGAGGAAGGTAAGCAGACTCTCCTTTGTGGGCATCTGGCTGTCAGAGAGAAGTGAGTAGAAATGTTACATTGTGCAGCCTCCGGGCTCAGCCGTCACCTGCTAATTTGAATGTATACAAATTACTCCATGGTAATCCAGTCTGAGTTTCCAGGTAAATATTTTTTCTCCTGGTCACTCGGGAGATCTGAGCTGTTATAATTATTTAAGATAAGGAGACTGGCCCAGCTCTCCCAAAGCAGATGGGCAAAAGGGCTTTGAGAGACTGTCCTGTTCCTCGATTTCCTGGCTGGGGAGGGTGGGGGCTCCATCCACTTGCAAAAGGGAGAGAATGTCTCTCTTCAGCTCTGAGGCCAGTCTGAGCTTTCCCAGAGCATTCTGGTGTGCTTCTTTAGTTTTTTTGGGGGGGTTGGTTTTGGTTTTGGTGGTGGGGAGCTAAAAGAAGAAATTGTAGGTCAAAACAGGGTGAAAAATAAAGAAGAATACAAGGCATTCCTGCAAATCAGGTAAATATTTTATGGCATATTAGAAGTGGTCAGAAATCTGGAAAAAATAAGGTCATTTGCCAAAAAGAAAGGGAAGCAGAGCAGGGTCTGCAGTGTCATCGCAAACACAAAACAGAATGTTTGAAGGGGAGCACAGTGCTCGAATTCTGTTTTCATTTACACACATTTTTCAGACCAGAACAAATTGAAAAATTATAATGGAAAAATATCTCTGGGCTAGAGCTGTCATTCAGATCCTCTGGCAGAGAATAATGGAGTTTGAGCCCTGAAATACATATTAAAAGTCTATCAAAACCACAGTTGCTTTAGGAGAGAGAAAGCAATATTGGTCCGTTATGTCATTCTGGATGGCTTTCCAGGCTTCTCTGTCCACGAACAGGATGGAAATCCAGGCTACAGATCTGAGCTGATCTAAGGCTCTCCTTAGCTTCACATCAGCCCTAAAGCCAGCTTCTTTATTAAAATGATAAGGGGAGAAATGGCCCTTTGCTGGGGAGGATTTGCACTCCCATTGATCAGTAAGTCAGTTCGGTTCAAAGAAAAGATCCTGAGCAAGTGAGGGGGGCATTCTCCCTTGGGAACAATTCAGCAGGGACCTGGCTGTCCAGGGACACATTGTTCGGTGACTATATCCTCTCCAGGTTCCACTTACACGCTGCAAGACCTTCATCAGACCCTGCGTTGTCTCCTCTGTGTTTTTCTCAGTCCCAGGGTCTGTGCTTCTTCCGCACTGTCTCTTTCTTCCAGTTTTCCCTCTGCCATGTGCCCACATGACCTTTGTTTCTGTGCTTTTTTTTTTTCTTGCATGATCCCTTCCCTCTCTCCTTCTTTTGACATCCAGTCTCCTCTCTTTGCAACCTGCCTGGCCTTTTTTCCAGCTGACAAGACCCAAGAACCCTCTTAGATCCTCTCACAAAATCCTGGTTCTAATCCCTCCAGTGCCTGACTGCCCGCATTGGTAGAAGACCAAGGCAGACGTGCATAGTCGCCACTGGGCAGTTTGTTAAAATGCAGCAGTAGAATTCTGCTTTCCCTCTGGATGTCAGAAAGACATACTAACAGTATTCATCAGCGTTCAGTTTCATTTATTAATAAGTTTAAGCTGGCTTCGCTTCTCTAATTGAGGTACTAAGGAAGATTGCAGAATGAATTAATGAGATAGCACCCCATAGACAGAAAACTGCAGGGTGCGACCCATGGCAGGAGCTCTGTAAGCTGTCACTGTTCCTGCAGGACTCTGACAGGCATCAGAATCCAGAACAGCACGAAGCCAAAGGTGTGGATAATTGGCCATTGACTGAGGGGATTTACTCTCATTTGTTGAGCTCATCCAGGTCAGCAAAATAAAAATGTTAAAAGGTCAGGATATTCATTCAGGGCATTGGCTGTACTCAGACCGTGTTGTTATGTAAAATAACTGATGTTTCTGTGGCCTCTAAGGAAGTAGTTACTGGGTTGGGGGGGGGCAGTGTGAGCTGAGGGAGAAGCAGACTCCCCGCTGAGCCAGGAGCCTGATGTAGGGCTGGATCCCAGGACCCTGAGATCATGACCTGAGCTGAAGGCAGACACTTAAACCAACTGTGCCACCCAGGCGCCCCAGTAGTTGAGATTCCTGAGCCTGTTACTAATCGAGGGGCAACCAAGCCACCAAAATGACCGTGCAGTTGCGCATTCAGGAAAATATTTATTGCATATTTGTTATGTGCCAAGCAGAGCGGAGGGTGAGAAAGTACATAAGCTACGTCATGTCCCCAAGACCCAGCCAGGCCCTCAAGGAGTGAAGTGTATGATAATTGCATCAGTGTCCCCAAGGGCTCTAAGAGAGGTCTGTGTGAGGGTCGGTGGAGAATTAAGGGAGAATCCACAACTAGGCCTGAGGAGGAATGAAATTTTGCAGGCAGCGAAGGGGGAGCCAGAGGAACAGGGTGGGCAGGCGTGTGGGCATGCGTGGAAACCCTATGAAGGAGAGCAGCATGCCGGGTGCAGAAGCACACAGCCCCCAGGCTGACACACAGGGGCAGAGAGGCCTGCCAGAGGAGGCTGATGAGGCTGGGGCCTCAAGGCTCTGTGAAGGGGGGTTTCATCTTCGAGGCAGCAAGAGCCACCATGAAGCAGACGAGGGGCTGCATCAGAGCCTCACTGTTCTGGAAGCATCCCTCTGGCAGCATGTGGAGGATGAGCTGGAGAAATAGAGGACAGAACTTGCATACCGGGACATAATTACAGTAGTGTCATAGGCCAGAACTGGCGGGGATGCAGGGTGTCAGTAGTAGGTGTGGAGAGGGGACACAGGAGTGTTTGGAGGTAGGTGAGGTTGATCGGTTGTGTGGGGTGACAGGGTGGCAGTCGGAGCAGCAGGGGAATCTGGAATGGCTCCTAGCATGGGACACAGGAGAAGGCAAAGCAGGGAAGTTTAGAACCAGCAGTTTGAGGAGTAATGGGACACCGGGGTTGCTGTGACAGGTAAGCAGCTGGGCATTCAGTTGGAGCTCCAGGGTGTGAAGAATTTCCAAAGCATAACTGAACCAGAGCTGAACAGACAGTGGGGAGGGGGAGACACTTGGCACACCAGAGGAATTTCCAGTAGCTGTGAGCAGACTTCAGCTGGGTTCCCCACCATGACATTGACTGTGGGACAGAGGGGGACCCGGTGGCACGGCCCTGACCCCGATGTAATTTGGGGAGCCCTCTTTAAGAAATTAATGTACAAAAAAAAAAGAAAAGAAAAGAAATTAATGTACATTCTGAAGGTGAAATAAGAACAGGCCTTTGCGGGATGCCTGGGTGGTTCAGCAGTTTAGCACCTGCCTTCAGCCCAGGGCGTGATCCTGGAGTCCCGGATCGAGTCCCATGGTGGGCTCCCTGCATGGAGCCTGCTTCTCCCTCTGCCTGTGTCTCTGCCCCCTCCCCTCTCTCTCTGTCTCCCATGAATAAATAAATAAAATCTTTAAAAAAAAAAACAAAAACAAAAACAGGCCTTTGCAAGGTCTGTGAGGGAGAGGTGCCTGAGTTTCATTAGCCTGAGGGGTGTCTGTGCCTGCAGAGACGTCATGGGGTGGGACCTTCAGGAAAACCAGACATGAACCCAAGCCAGGGTGCAGGCCCAGTGGCGGGAACACGGCAGGGAGCCTGTTCCTTCTTCCCTCCCCCAAAATCAGGACCTTTGGGAAGGAGCCATCTGTTTTGTGAGTCGCTGGGAATGCAGGGTGCACTCCTGGCTCCCAAACTGTGTGTGCAAGGAGGCGCACGCTAATGCCCTTACGCAGATCACTGTGCATAAAGTGCCTGAAACCCCTGGCCCTGCCGCTTCTTATTTGCGTTGAATATTGGAAACTCGCGTGAAACTGTTGGAACGTGTAGGTGCCACAGCCACCCGGCTCCAGCTCACCCCCCCCCACCCCCCCCCACCCCCCCCACCCCCCCCACCCCCCCCCCCCCCCCCCCCCCCCCCGTCTCGGGCCGGTCACTTCCCACGTGCAGCTGGAGTTAGGACCAGCGGGGCCATCTGTGCTCCCTTTCCGAACCCGGCAGGGCCAGCCAGGCTCCGCAAGTGCATCTGCATCTGCGGAGGGGGAAGCCGCAGTGCCCCGAGGCTGGGCCAGCTCGTGGGGCGCGGGGGTGGGGGGGCTACTCTGCTGCTACTCGCTCGGGCTCCACCCACGGGCCCCAACGGGGCGGGGAACCGGGAGTGGCCCCAGCTCTGCGCACCTGGACGCGCTTCTGCAGCAGCAGCTGTACCTCCAGCCCCAGCAGAGGCCCTGCCTGACACTCGGCCCCAGTTACAGCAGCCGTCCCTGGCGCACGATCCTGAGAGCCAGCTCCAAGTAGAGGCAGTGACAGGGTGAGCCTGCTGCCTTTCCTTCCGGGGGTCTGAGGGCATCCTCTGCTATGCAGCAGCAAACCAGCAGCACAGCCCGGGAACTCAGAAGCCGCTCAAGTGTTTCCATATGAGCCCCCCAAAAGGGGGGGTGGGGGTATGGATAGCTGATCGCTGTCCAGAAATGGGCAGGACCCCTAGCTCACGGTTGGGTGCACTTCGCCATTCTGGTCATAGAGTCTACCCTAAATTGCTTAATCGTCACTCTGAAGGCCTGGTGGCTTTGGAGACATGGAGTAAAACACAGAGGACGTGACAGGTGGAGTGGAGAGAGAACATTGACCTCCCCTCCTGCTCACATGCTTCTCTCTGCTGCCTGAACCTTCTAAAACAAATGGGCTCCGGCTTACAGAAGCACAACCCCAAATAAAGCTGCCGCTGTTTGCCAGAAGAAGAGCCGTGTCAAGGTCCTCAGGGCACACGTGTCAGGAGCAGCGAGACACGTGAGGACACCTGAGAACGGTGTTTTGGCTTTTGTGTATGCTCAGAAGCTCAAGGCCAACTTCAGAGGTGTTTTTAAAAATTGTTTTTAAGATGTTTATTTTGAGAGAGAGAGTGCACACGTGAGCAGCGGGGAGGAGCAGAGGGGGGGAACCTACAGCAGACTCCCTGCTGAGCACAGACCCC